AGGGCTGGAGTATGTGGATTGGTAGCGCCTAATACATTGGACTTTGGGGGCCTTTTGAGGGTGCGGCCCTGATTTGTCCTCTCCCGTTCTGGTGGTGATTTTCTCGGTTTCGTGGTCTCGCAAGCTCGGTCACTTTTTGTGATTGCAGTGGAGAGTCTCTTGCCTCAAATTACCGTGATCATCTTTGGTCTGGGGTTGCGAATTTGGAATCTCGTGGTTTGTTCTGGCTGTTTTGACTTTGATGAATTCCTGATTGTTGTTGACGACTTGAATTTGAAGAGATTGATTTCGAGGCAGTGCTACCTCGCCCAACAGGTTGATGTTGGTGCATTTCGTTATGGTTTTTCAAGTTCTATCAGCCGATTGCGTTTGGTCAGTGTCGGATAGCCTTGGCGATATGGTCTTCATTATCCTGGATTCGATTTTAGACTTAGTGTCATCTTTGTCTCTTGTTTTATGTCTTTGTTTTGTTTAGTATAAATGGTAGGTCTCCTTTTCTTTAAGGAGGACTCTGGAAGACGAGGTCTTGCCGGCTAAGTATTTCAAATCTGTATTCTACCCTTGTTGTAATCCACGGTTTTATTGAATGAAATTTAGATTAAAAAAAAAACTATACTAATAAAAGAGAAGTCGTTGGTCATATGTGGCAGTCTGAGAATCATCTTCAGACCAGAAATTACTATAATGTCCTAAAACCCCTGTTTAATTACGCTGCCATGCCATTGAGATTTTGCAATCGATGATATATGGGCTTATTGGGCTGGAGAGATTGGAACTCAACAATTGCTTCGAATGTTTTTAATATGGGCTTTTGATGTGCTTCTTGAACGCCGCCTCCTATAAATGTCGGCTATAATGAATGTTTTTATAGATGTGCCCTAATTCTATAAGAATGTGTATATATATCGATAATTGTCATCTTCTTCTTATAAAATATTATTTTCTTCTTTTGATTCTTATAATTAAATACCTTCGTATACCTTCCTCATGACATACAAATCAGCACGTTTTTTTTTTTCATAGTTCCATGTTCTCCTTTTTCTTTTCTTATTTGTATGTTCTTTAGTTCTTTGGCGTTTTTTTTTCTATATTTTCACGTTCTCTTTTTTTTTTTCTTATTTGTATGTTCTTTAGTTTTTATAATTTCTGTTTTGTTATATTTCTTTTGATGTTCTCTTTTTTATATAGTAGGTAATTTGTTTTACTATTTTTCAGATTTTTAAAATTAGAATTTCTATCCCTAAGGTATGGTTTCTCTCTTGTATGTGTATAAAATATCTTTTTTCTATATGGTTCGTGATTGTTCTTAGATTCGTTTGATCGATTGTACCTTATTATATCTTATTTTCTTATATTCGTAATTTCATATACCTTCCTCATGTCTAAACTATTCATGAATGGTGATTTTAATTATTGTGTTTGAACAGTTTTGATTTCTTTGTTTTTATTTGTTTATTTTTTTTTGATATGTTTTGTTTATGAATGTTTAACAAGTTGTTGTAGTTTAAAACCTAACTTTTGTGACTGTGTTTTAATAAGAACACAGAGGGTAGGAGATGAGAAGCAAAAACTCTCAAAAGGTGACTAAAAACATCTCTATTTATAATATTGGTCTCTTTTTTTTTTTGTCCTATTGGTCACAAAAAAACCTATCCGGTATATCTATAAGACTATAACTTCTTATCATACTTAGGTCTCTAAACTCATTCGGCTACATCATATTTTTTATCTTGGTAAATTTTCATGGTTTCTGGTATATATTTTTAGTGTTTACATAAATTATATTTTTTAATTTAGGCTAATGAATTTCAATCCATATA